GACTGAGACATTAATAAAAAGATAAACTAAAAAGCAGGAGGACATAAGAAGAGAAAGAAGAAAGAGAGGAATCAGTTATGAGAAGGACCAGAATAAGAGAGCACAGAATGAAGAGAGAGCAGGCAAAAGATGTGCATAGGTTAAAGAGTGAAAGAAGAGAGGAGATGGGTGAACTTAAATATACAGGTTTCTTTCTGATTTAAAAAACAAAACAAAAAGAAGTGCTGGAATCCCAAAAGTAGAATACAAGCAGAACTGCCAATGGTCTGGTGCCAAGGCCACTAACCATGGTCTATAATTAAAAGCAGGGATGGTGTAGACCTGTGATGCATGGTCCAGCAACTCTGGTGTCAACTGATAGCTCGATAGAAATGCAAAATATGGAGCCCCAGCCCAGGTTTACTGAATTAGAATATGCATTTTCATAAAATCTCCAGATGATTTCAATATATGATAAAAATTAGAGAAGCACTGATGTAGATATTTAAAATCCACAGATAACTCTGCATTTCACTCTAATCAATGGCATGGTGTACAAAGCACTGGCACTAAGAAGTTATACAACCTTAGGAAAATCATTTAATGTCCCTGGATCTCAGTTTCTTTATTAAATGAGAAGTTCAGAGTAGATGATTTCTAAAGTGTCACATAGCTCTGATATTCTTGATCTCATCTAACAGCATAACTTTAACCCTTCCTAAACCCAAAAGAACAAATAGGTAGCATCGTCGACTAATTAATATCTCACTTCCTTTCTCCGTTCATTTATTTAACATTTTCTGAGAATCTATTATGTGCTAGTCACTACGCTAAGTACAAATGATTCTAAGATGAATAAAACATCTCTCCTTGCCCTTGAGGAGCTCACAAAATTCTTAGGGAAACAGGGCGTATAAACAAAATCAGGATAAACTAAGACGCATGAGCACATGTTGGTGAAGACCAGAAAGGAAGGCAATTCCACAGCCTGGGGCAGCCATGGAGAGTTTCAGCAAGGGGACAACGTAGACGTGCATGAGGTCCCTTCTCTGCCAACCTCTGCTGAAAGTGCTAAGAAGTGAAAAGACCAAAAATAAGGTGGAGAACATCAAGAAAACAACCAAAGGTTCATAAACACACCTTGCTGGGTTCACAATTCCCCAAAAGGTTCACAGCACAATGGATTCTGTGTAATGGCCACAGGCACCATTAACAGCCGCAGGTGAACCTCAGAAACCCACCTTCTCTGAGCTCTGCCTGCTCTTTCATCCTGACTACATTCTGTTCCAGCTTTGACCTCCTTCTGGAAGATAATATCAATTCAACCACTAATCTACTGTCCCTGGAGACTTCTTCTTGTGGTTGCAAAGAGGAGATGCACTTTAATAAATGCGAACAATTCATTAGACCAGTAACTTTTTGATCTATATTTATTTACAGTGAGAGACAATACTGGTATCCAGTCATGTGCACAGGAGCAGCGACTGAAAATGTAGTTTACTGAAAGGAAGAAATTTCTAGAATTCCTAAGGATGGGATAGAATGGCACTGAGGAAAAGGAGGAGCTTCATTTTTCCAGCTCAGCCACTTTTGACTCCAACAAAATACACAAGATGAGTGCTTTTGTCGGCCCCAGTCCTCAATATTAAATACACAAGACTATCGTTTGGAAGAATAGTTTTCCCACCTTTAGAATGGTAAGTTCAACCCTGGCTTTTTTCTCTTCCTTAGCTTCTGCATGCTGATTTGGGATTATGATTTCTTCCCATACAATTTGTCCTTTTACCTGTCTCCTTTTATAGTCCATCAATATTATTTATAGCCCATAAATATTAACAATTTTTTTACCTTAACCTGTTAGTAGTATATATGTCACCTCCGTTTTCAGATTCTTAAACAAGGATATAGAAAAAAAATCCTGTCCCCAGGGTTTATTGTATTCATGGGAAACTGAAAGAATATTTTACAAGGTAATACTGTGGCCAAGGAATGGATCAGCTCAGTCCTGTTTCTCTCAAACATGCCTCATTCCACCAGCCAATTTCAGTCCATTTGCCCACCACCCAGGTACCCCCTGCCTCTCCCCACACAAGGCTGGGTGCGTGTACATGAAGGTCAAGGAAGACGGTCAAGATTCCAAAGCTATCTTTCTGGAGATAAACCAAGAACACAAAATCAAGGTTCCTGCTGTTCATCCCTTCTCCAGAGGAAGTCGCTCTTCTCAATCAGACTTAAAGAAAAGCACTTGGTGCGCAAAGTATTGAATAGAGGATTTTTTTCTCTTTCCCCTCCTTTACTGTCATTTTGCCTTTTTATTGATTCTCTCTGCCTGCGTCCATCCCTGGCAAAAAATGCATATATACGTTAGCAAAGCAAGGATCTTCAGACAGACAGGCTTCCTAGGGATGGAACCAATGGGAGAGGAAAAATTACATGTAACACCTAACTCTAAACTGCCACATCACTCTGTGTTCACAGATCCGCCATGCTCTGCCACACCTGAAACAGACATAGAAGATAACCATGTTGTTCTGCTTCTCTTGAAATCACCCACCTAATGTCCTTAACTGTGTCCTGGGAAGTCTTCATTTCCCATTATTATTATTTTTCTTAATTGCACATCAAGGAGGCTCCTCGATTGAAATTAAATTTGCTCTTCCTCCCACCAGCAGCCACCTTTCTTTCCCATGTCACCCACACTGTAAGGGGGGTGGCAGAAGGAGAAAAGACAAAATAGAACCCAGTCAGCTCTGTGCTGTGAGGGGAAAAAAGGGGGCGAGAACAATGCCCCTGAGATGGCTCAGAGCACCACTGAGTCACAGCCTCACAGAGACTGCCCGCGAGGATGGGGAACACCTGCTTCCTCATCAGGGTCTCCAAAATGGCTTTGGATGGTGAAAAGGCACAGACCACCTGTGGCGATTCCTCCTTGAATCTTAACAAGCCCTTTCCAATTGGATTACCTCTCCCTTCCCTTTATAGCTTCCCCACCCACTTTTTCCTCTCTTCCTCAACTCCCTCCCCTTTCCACCTCGCCTAGTCTTAGGGACAACTAATGATAGTCTGGAACCTGGCTTCATCCATTGGCATTCAAGAGAAATGAGGTAGCTGAGATCCTGTCAAACAGCATCCTTATCAACCCCATCACCAACAAACATTCCAAAGGACCTACTGGGTGTAGAGTACTGGTATTGTGGCACTGGGGATGCAAAAGGAGCCCTGTGCCCCATCAATGCCCTCCTCTCCTTGTCCATTTGTATGTATGAAAGCTTTGCACATGGAGCTGCCTTTCTCACCCATACCTCTTTTCTATTTTGAAGTCAAATTAAGAGTTCATCCTCCTACTTGGAGTGGAAGCAGATGGAGAATGAGCTCAGGTGTCTCTAAGGTGAGCACACGCCAGATAACCTCAGCTATTTGTAGACGTGGTGAGAACATGGTTCAAAGTGGGATCCCACCCTCTCACTCCGATTACACCATGGTTACAAAGTAGCATTTCAGCAGTAAAACTCAAAAGAATGAAACCCAGGGAAGGGGGATAGTGAATTTGGATTACATCTATCCTTTCTGGACAATGAAGAACTATCATCTACTGTCATGTTGAGCGACAAAGATCTTTCACCACTTCCCCACATCCCTTTGGTATTTTGGATTATCAAAAAATTGTTGTTTTCAAATGCCAGAAAAAAAATGTGTGTGTGTTCGGGGGGTGGTAACACTTTTAGGAAAAATAATGATGCTAATGATTCTGCTACATATTTTTGGAGATCTTTATCCCAACCAGATTCCTGCATTTAGACACCTTCAGAGTTCAGGGATATATGGTCAGTGGAGCAAGGAAAGGAGCAGTCCACTCACCATCATGGCCCTACAACCCATGAATGATCTGATTTTCTCAAGAGTTGTCTTGGATTGCATGAGTGACTAGCTGAAGAGTCATTAGCTAAGTCTTTTCCATTTCTCCTGCTATTTTTCTTCTCAAGTACATTAAAATACTGCCTAATCACATTTCACATATTGTAAAAATTGATGAAAGGGAAAATATTAAAGTATTAATTCCATTTTTGAGGGTACAAGACTAACACATGCAAACAGCACATCTCTTTGTTTAACACAAAGACTCACGTGTCGAATTCTGCACCCCTTCCACATGCACAGCATTTTAGAACTCTGCAAGATAGCCATTTTGCAAGAGTGTGGAAGTAACAGTTTGCTTGGAGGATGTGTGGGTATAAATAGATGTGTAGACAGAAGGAGAAATTTACAGCTCAAAAATAATAGCACAGGAAAAAATACAAATTAAAAGCAGAATATTGACAGAATTCCTCCTTTTCGAGCTTAAGATTTAAGTCCTTTAACCTGCAGCATCCTTCAAGTCCAGCTGTTCTTGGACCAGCCTGATCCCCACCTAGACCTACCCCTCTGCAATAGGCCTCCCGGGATCTCTGGGCCCAGTGTCAACCCTTTAGACAGCAAGTGGATTTCAGGGCAACAATCACAGTAATCTCAATCATTATTTTTATCTGTTTTAAAGGGCATAGAAAGGATGACTAGGAAGGTAAAGACAGGAGACAGGGAGAGAGGCATGAAGGTGACAAGGGGAATAAAGCCAACCTGAAAAAAAAAAAAAAGATTTCTAGATTCCCATAAAAATCGGAGCTTTAGCTCTGGGTGAATAAAATGCTATTTAACTGGAAAATCACACAGGTCTCTTGGCTGGCTATGTCGATATAGATATAGATATAGATATAGATACCCCTGATGCCATCCAACATCTTTTGTGCCTGCATACACCCATCCCCACTGCCCCCCAAAAGCCCAAAACCTGTTTGATGAGAGAATAAAAAGAAAAAACATGGGAGATTTCCTCCTTTGTAATAAGCCTTTTCCCCAAAACAGCATTATTTTCATATCTTGTGACCTTTTCTTCCAAAAAGATCCACTTGAGGGACTCGAATAGATAGATAAAAGGAGGAATCCCTACCCCAGGTGAGGAAAAAATAAAATAGAATTTGCCCTACCTTGGTTTGTAGAAGCCAAACCTCTAGACGGACAGATTAAGGGAGTGAGCATGTTGGGAATGTCCAGTCCCTTCTTCTTGCTTGCATATCCACATAAGAAAGACGAAGGATAAATGAACGGAAGATAATTTAAAATCCAATTTAGCGTCAATTTTGTTTTAATCTTGTGTCTTGAAGAGATGCAAATTCAAAAAAAAAGATTTAATTCAAAGGTAATTCAGGGTATGGAGAGCAGCTCACAATGCAGAATCCAGAGTAATTATTCCGTGTGCATGTGAGGTTAGTGGCTGGAATAGATTTTTAACGCTTCTTCTGGCAATTACGGTTTTTGGTTTTTGGAGCGTTAGTGGAGGAGGCTCTGTGTGGAGAAGCTGGGGGCCGGCTCCGTCCCTCGGTGGAGCATGGTCATTCCCAAAGCGTCCCCTTCCTAAGGGGGAAAAAGAGGCGGTCAGGGCTTGATTCGGGTGTCCCCCGGAGGGTGAGAAAAATGCATTCCGAAAAAGATATCAATTCGTTTTATGGAAAGGGGGGAGGAAACCCCGCATTTCCCACAGAGTGCACACGAGAGGGATTGAAAACAGCTGGTACCGGTCTATAAATAATTCAGAAAAGGTCTGGCTATACCATTCCTGGGACAGGCATGGATGAGAGGTGGGAAAGCTAACCTGAATGGAAGAGGAGAGAGGGAGGGAGCGAGCGAAGGAGGAAAGTGGGAAGGAAGGAGGAAGGGAGGGAGAAGCGGCACCATACAGCAACACACACTCACACACACGCAGAAACACAATTCCCACTTAACTCGCCAGCGAGTGCGGCCCCCAGCCCCATCTGCATTGCTGCTGACATGTCTGTCTCGCTCTCCCCATCGCCTCCAGCAGCAGCGCCGCCTCCCACCCCAGGCTTGTGCTGAATGGGTTCTGATTGTGCACAGGGTGCACACTGGGCATTTCTTGGAAGGGGCACACTGACACGCGCGCACACACGCCCCCGACGCGCACGCGCCCCGCGCGCACTCACACTCACCCCCGCGCACACTCACCCCCGCGCACACTCACGCTGCCGCCGCGCTGAGGTGCAGCGCACTGGGCTTCACCTGCAACGTGTCGATTGGACGGATGGGCGCGTGGGTCCAGCTCGGGGCGCCGCTGCCCTGCCTCTCTGCTAGGTGAGGGGATGAAACCCCCCAAAAGACCAGAGACAGCCCTACCCAGTCACAGCACCCCCTCCCCCCCCCACACACACACACAAAAAAAACCCTTAAAAAAAGCCACGTCCAAATTAGCAAGTGCCGGGTTCTGCTGGATTTCAGAGCTTTACCTCATGCCAGGTTGGTTCACGGTTTCACAGCTTCGACCCTTTATCTGCCTGACACCCCCAAACCCCTACACTGGAAGGAGAGACTCCAAAGCCAATCTTTACGTACCGGCTCCGAGCGCCTCCGCGGTTGCAGTCTCCGGAGAGGGGTGGCCGGTGGCTGGGAATGGAGGGTTTTCCTTTCCTGCAAAGCAGGATTAATGATCCGTCTCGGGGGTTTTGAAGTTCACGACTCTTCTTTGCAAGGCAAAAGGATATGCATTCGGACGCCAGCACTTCTGGATGGTGGTGATCAAGAATCACCCTGACGAGCACTCTCGATAGAGCGAAGCCCCGAGATTTCCTAGAGGTGAAGAAGCCGGAGGAAGTGGTTTTTGAAAGGGGGTGGGGGGAACCTTCCTTTCTCAAAAAGAGGTGGGGGGGGGGTGGAGAGGCAGGAGCCCAGATTCCAGTTGGTGAGGATCGGAGCCGGGGGAAGGGAAGCGGGCGGGGGCAGGCTGTGCAAGTCAACCGCGCGGCAGCCGGAGAGGGAGAGCAGGAGGGGAGGAGGGGAGCGTCAGAAAAATGGGTATTAATCACCGCGGACGGGGGGAGGCGCGGGGAGCGCGGGTTGCCTGGTCTGGATTTGGGTCTCACACTCAAAAACGTGCCGCGCACACACACAGACACACACACCCCCCTACCTCTCACACCCTGGCTCCCGTGGGAGGAGAAACCCACGAAGCTGGGGAAGATGCTGCTTCTGCTCCCAGGGGCGGGTGTGAGCGCGCGTGTCCTTTCTCCACACCCCCCACCCCACCCCACCCCCAAGCCCCTGCACCCCCTCACTCCTCTTGCTAAGACTCTGAAGGAGGCAGCTTCCCACGTCATGTGCTGGGGAAGTGGGGTAGGAAGGGGGACGGAATGGGGAAGAAGCTTAGCTCGAGTCCGTGGCGCCTCCTCCCGGCCGCAGCGGGGAACAGCACCGAGGGAGAGCGGCTCAGGGGCGAGGGGAGCTAGACAGTGCCCCCCGTGGGCGGCCGCGCGGGCTGCGGAAAGCATCTTTAAGGGGGAGCTGTAGTTCGAAATCGAAGACCCTTTTATTTTCCATAAATCAGCCTGTGCTTCCTACGAGCACTCTGCGTGTCGGACGCAGTCTGGGGCCGGGTTCTTTCTTGCCTTCAAGGAGCTTAAGGTCTATTCTGAGCACACGAGGCTGACGCCTAACGCAATAGAAAACAAAGCAAAGCAGGTGTCATTCGTGGCTAAATTGTATAGTATAGACCATACGCGTGCTTTTCTGGCTGCTAGTGAAGGCGTGAGGGGTTTGACGTTTTTTATTAAAGTGGATCCTGTTATTTAAATGCCTTGAGAAGAGAAGATGATGAGACCAGTGAATAATCCCTAAAGGAAACTGGATTTCCTGGCATTTACAAACCCACCCTCTTCGAAAAGGCAAACATCCATTCATTTCTCTTCCTCTTGAACTCTTCTATATTTTAATAGCCTTTATCACCACCTGTAGTACTGTTTACTTTTAACATTAATATTATTGTTTATGCATCATTTTCATTCTCATCCATTGTCTTTTCAAATATCTAGAATATTACAGTGGTGGAACATTTTCATATTGATTGTATCATGGGCTTCTCACCAGCATTCCTGAGAAGTGGCCATACAAATGCACAGGAGAGAAGGTTGTGTGAAATGGATACTAGTGGCTTGGAACTTTAGTCTGTAGAAGACATCAGATATGTTTTTGCTGTCCTGTAGACCAGACTACTCATACTTCTGAACTACAGTAATTCTTCTGTGTTGCCTGGTTTTTCTCGGGCTTAATTTTTGAACCTAACATATTTAACACACACAAACACATAAGCATTGTGTGAAAACACAAATAGAGTGTGTTCACATGCAAATTATTCCTTCTCAGTAATCGTTTTCTATTTTTCTAAGAGTTAGAGCTGATCTTTCACTACTTTGGGGAAGTGTCAAAGCACCCCAGAGTTGCTGTGCCCTCTTGGTACACAACAGCCAACCCAAGCCCCTCTAATAATTTGTATCCAGGGCTTTGAAATTCACCTGCCTATGGGCAGGTTTCCAGTTGTTACAACACCGATTCCAGGAGTATAGAATGCGGAAAGCAAGAACCTAATAGAGATTTCCTGAAACACTCTTCCCTGAATTTTCCAGGAAAATTACCATTACCTGGTCCATTACCTTCAGAACAACATCCAAGCTCACTTGAGGATCTTCATGGGTTGACCTTGAATCTACTTTTTAAAATTTTTTTTTTTTTAATTTCTGGTTCATAACCCAAGACCTTCCCCTTCCTATCCCCAGTCCCTTCACCAAAATTATACTATTCTTCTCTATTTTCTTTCCTTTTCCTCCCTACCTGAACCCTGTTGCAATTCCATTCTACCCTGTTCACTTTTCCAAGGGTAGAGGGAAAAATGAACGCTCATACTTCCTCCACCTAATTGAGTCCACACTCCTCTTCAGTTTCCAGCTCAAGTCCCACCTCCTCTGGGGATATTTTTCAGTCAACCAAGCCTGAACTGATTTCTGTAAAAATTGCAAGGATCTTAAAACGAGAGATGACACGATTTTAAAATGAGAGATGACACCTCACCACCATCCCCTCCACTCTCATTTTCTGTATTCAGCAATGTATGGAAGAGTTTGCTTGATCAGTTACCAGACTGACTGGGTGATAACTTCTTGCATTCATTAACCAGGTACCGGCCCACTAAAGGGAAAAATATTACCTCTGTAGCTATTCACGTTGAACCATGTGCAACTATTGATATTCAATCACATGAAATTGCCAATCATATGAAATAACCATTATTGACATATAATAAAAAGGCAATTTCATAAAGTTAAACTTAAAATTGTATTCTGGTGTCAATTTCCTGTCTTCCTAACTAGTTGTTTAGCTCCCTAAGGGGATAGACCATAACCTAAATCATCCATATATTCCCAGTACCTGGCTCAACTCCAGACATGCAGTAGAGGTTCAATAAATATTTTTTATGACTATTTGAAGCCACTTTATCAAGCAGCTTTTCTGGTTCTGAAATAGCTAATTCTAGGGACCACACAGATTGTGAAGTGGAAAGTAATATCCCTTTTCTCATGGTATTCACTGTCCATTGACTATTCAGTGGAACCAAGACTCATCTCCTTTTTTTCTGGCTCCTTGTCACTCACTTGCTCTTCTCACCAATAACCTTTGCCTTCATGGACCATAAGCCTCTCAATAAAACTATTTCAGCCAGGCACGGTGGCTCATGCCCATAATCCCAGCACTTTGGGAGGCCAAGGTGGGCGGATCACCTGAGGTCGGCAGTTCAAGACCATCCTGACCAACATGGAGAAACTCCATCTCTACTAAAAATACAGAATTAGCCAGGCGTGGTGGCACATGCCTGTAATCCCAGCTACTTGGGAGGCTGAGGCAAGAGAATCACTTGAACCCCGGAGGCTGAGGCTGCAGTGAGCCGAGATCACGCCATTGCACTCCAACAAGAGCGAAACTCCATCTCAAAATAAAATAAAAAAAATAAAATAAAATAAAACTATTTCAAGGACCACCAAGATTCGTGAAATTTGAAACACCATTTCTTAATGTCACAAATATATATTTCCTAACTCCTAGTTCAGCAACACAGAAAACAATATTCTAATGAGACAAGATGTTGCATCATATTTTACAGCATTGCTTATTGAGGAGAAGCTCTTACTTGAGGCTGCTAATGACACTTTTGGAGGTATTCTGCCAGCTCAACCCAAAGAGAGGTTCCCAGAAGATGCAAACACTCTTTTTCATGGCCCAATCAGCAAACGCAAAGCCTATGCCTTGCCTGGCCAACAACAACAACCAAAAAGTATGTTTATCTGGCAACATCTTTCAGATCAAACCACTGGTACCAAAGTGTGGAGCCTGAAGTTTATACGATTTGGAGTCCCTCTTTAAGAGAAAGAATAAAAAATTAATTGCAAAAGTGAATATCCACTTAGAAAATAAATCACAACAATTTAAAAACTCTTTAGTAGTTATAAACACCAAAAAATTAAAAATTTAAATAATAATCTTTAGTTAACTGCGTATTTCTGTAATATTTATTTTTGTATTTTTTTTTTACCACATACTCTTTGAGCACCTCTTCACATTATGATTTAAAGTATAATTTTCTATGAAGATACTAGAATCAAAAAAAATCTGGGATCCAGTGTATTCTTCAAAATAACTGTTCGAAAATTGTTTTTTATTATAGATAATTTAGAAAAATTTCCTAGTTATTGGTATTAGTACAGTTTACACTTTTAAGGGTTGCTGTCAAATTTAGAAAGACATTTATCAAATTTCTTTGATATATAAGCTCTAAGGTTACAAGGATTTCAAGTTTTCTTATACAGTGACTAATCTTAAAATATCTCTTAAATTGATAACATTCGTTAACTAGTTTGTAATTTATTATAAGTTTTACACTATCTTCATCAACGACAGCATTTTGTCTTGAACGAGCCAAAAATATAAATATTTCCCCAATATGTTCATATGATTCACTTCTCTGCATTAATTTGATTGTCAAACAATCCCAGGGGTCTATTCATTACTTCTACTTAGAATATCTGTTTTTGTCTTAAAGAATTAGTTTAGGTATGACTTGGGAAATGCAACATTAGGTGGTCTTGGGAAACGCGACATTTGGGCAGGAAAACAAAAATTCCTGTCCTCACCTAGGTCCCTAGGCACAGGCACAGGGTTGGAGCCCTAGCCGGGGACCACACCCTTCCCTTCCCAGCACTTCCCTGCCCCCCTTTGGTATCATTAGAGACCTGAGCAGCTTCCAAAGGGTAAACATTACACTTAGATTCTTTAAAGAAAATTTTGACTTGTCATATGTGTTTAAAACACTCCATTTGAGAGACACATCTGAAGGAGAAAAAAATGTTACAAAATACCACAGTGGTCAGAAACTTTGGGGTAAGGGAGAGGCAGCTTTTTCTTGAACTAGAATACCGGGATAACCCACAGAACACATACCCTGTGACGCCTTTGGGTCACACCTGGAAACCTTTTCTTCATTTGGAACAGTGAGCAATAACTTAATTCTATGGAGAAGATATATTGCAAAGTGTAGAGATACATCTCACTAAGCCTAAAGGAACGTGTTTCCAACTCAGCTTTCCCTTAGCTTCATCCCAAAAATGGTCACCACCACTCCAATGACACCCAGTGTGAGGGGAAATCTGACAGGGAAAGTTGGAGAGGAAAGAGCAATTTTAAATGATTGCAATTAAGGCCGGGTATGGTGGCTCACACCTGTAATCCCAGCACTTTGGGAGGCCGAGGTGGGTGGATCACTTGAGGTGAGGAGTTCGAGACCAGCCTGGCCAACAGGGCGAAATCTTGTCTCTACTAAAAACACAAAAACTAGCCAAGTGTGGTGGAGAGCCCCTGTAATTACAGCTATTCAGGAGGCTGAAGCAGGAGAATCCCTTGAACCCAAGAGGCGGAGGTTGCAGTGAG